GCCGGGCCTGGCGGGCGGCGCCGCCGCCGCGCTCCCCCGCGGCCCCCTTGCCTTTTTTGTCACCGCCTCAGCGGCTCCATGGCCACATAAGGCCATGCAAAGGCGCCGGGTGCCTTGCCCAAAGCACCGGGCACCGGAGGAGGGTTCGGGCCGTGGCGGCCGGTGGGGAGGCTGGAGATGCCATGGGGAGAGGGGGGCGGAATTACGTAAGTAGCCAGAGCCACCTGGGCGCCGAGGTGTGAGCGGAGCCGTCCTCCCGCTGGAGTTGGTGACAACAAGTTGCAACGCGACCCCAGCCAGCCGCAGCGCGGCACTTATCCCCTGAAGGTGACGTTGGTTAGAAAGAAAACCCGAGCGGGTTATCTTTGGGCTCGAGCGTGTTTATCGCCGAGCTCTCGCACGCGGACGCGCACCCCGGCGTGCCCTGGCGCCCGCAGGAGGGGTTCCCGCGGGCAGGAGATGCTGGCAGCGCTGGGATGGGCTCCCTGGCCCAGCGCTGGGCCACGCTCGGGAGCTTCGCTTCTCACTTCCTTATTAATGACATCTTTATGGGAGAAATTGTGTAGGCCGGGTGCTCTCTAATGTGGTAAAAATGAGCTTTGGGTAACTTCGTATATTGATTCCTCAGCTGTCTATTTCTAGTTACTGGGGTTTTATTTTTTTCCGTAACAAAAACTGAGGGCTAGCTGTCAGCTTCTGTTGTGTAGTGATGGCTTATTTATTTGTTATTTTCCCTGCTTCTTCTCTACCTCTTTCTCTTTGGATCTTAAGACCCTCTGTGAGCACAGGGGTTTCTGGATACCCAAATGGGCTTATAGATCACCCTAGTTTCATGGAATTTACCCCCCAAATCTTCCTCTCGCTCCCTTCTGAAGGTTTTATATGCAGGGCTAAGAACTAGTAAGCTTTTCCAGTTGCCTCTGTTCCTGATACTGATTCAAGTGCGCTGACTCAAGTGCAACCTTTGCAAGTAACATTACAACCATTTTGTGGGCTTTACTATTCTAAGTAATGTTAGTGCCATTGGTATCCTACATGGATATATATATATATATACTACTGTATTAAAAGTGATCGTGAATGTGCACAGCTCAGTGTAGCAGGTGTTTGAAGAAATGCCTTGAACTCTTCACAAGTCCTGTCTGGTATAATTACTGACCTGAGGAGGAAAACTGTTTCTTCAATTTTTAATAACCTAGGTGACATCTGAGCTGAAACTAGACTCTGACACTGCTTTTTCTGATGGCAGGCTACTTGAAGTCGCAATGCAGAGACTGAGCTTCCTGATGTCTGACCTTCCTTCCCTACTGCGGGCTGTCTTCTTCCAAGTCTGAGCTGCTCCAAAGTGTTTCTTTGTTGACACTCACAATACTCGTTCTACCTCAAATCAAAAATCACCACTGTGGTATTCTTTCTTCTCATGGGGCTGACATTTCAGTCCTCCTGCTACATGCAGCTCTTACATTATTTCAGGTGTGGTGAGTCATTAGGTTGCCTCTAATGGTTGAGTTGCAGGACAGTAAACAAATGGTAGAGATGAGTTATGTGACCCGAGTTGGTTTAGGCTGCTCTGGATCACTCACCCAAGCCGCATCAACCAAGCACAAGGAATCAGAGCTGTTAGGCTTGGAGAAAGACATCAAGAAGTGAAGAAAGGTTGTAAGAGGGGCCTAAAATCCCAAATATGCTGGAGAAACTGAGTGTAACAACTCTCTAATGGGTGAGGAGGTACTAGATGGGTATTTCTAGCATTAAGAGGGCAGGAAAAAATGGCAAAGGAGAGTAAAACATAGAACGGGCAACAGCTCCAAAAACTAACTCTTGTATACTTTGGTTCTTAATAAGTGTGTTATGGGGGGCAATTAGGCATCTATGACATGTGGCCATATATAATGAAGGGTGTGGTTTTTGTTTTTATTTATTTACTCTGAAAACTCTGCTAACATGGAAGTCAAACTGGAGTCCATCTTGTTTGTCAGACAAAAAAAAAACAAAATTTTTTTTTTTAATTAGAAAACGTTAAGGAAACTTGATAGCGCAACCCCCAGAATCTCCATTGAGTGTGTGAAGACAGATGTCTCATTCCTCTGGAGCAAGCTGACTTGCAACTTCAGCACGTAACTAGTAGCACAGCATCATGGATACAACATGCTTATTATGCAGCATGTTCTAGATGCTTATAATCCTCTGGGGGAGGACAATGAGTGGCAGTCTCACAATATAGCTTCACTTTTTTATTTATTTATTTTTAAATGGGAAGTAACTTCAATGCCTTTGCTAGTGACATGTTGACCTGTATCACAGAGGGATATAGTAGCTTGGCTTTTGTTTCTGAGTGTGCCTGCCCGTGTTCGGGCACTGGAGCAGCTCAAAATGAGGCAGTCAGAACATTGGGAGGGTTTTGTTGTTGTCTTTTTGGGGGGAGCGGGGAGGTGTAAAGGACCTGCTGAGTAGGGATCTCTGACTCTCAAAGCCAGTCCAAGCAGTAGTGCTTAGAGTTCTTAAAAACTCCTGAGGGCTGCGGGGAGGGCCTTGTGCACGGGTGCTTGTGTAAGTAAATGGCTGCTTTTTTTTTTTTTTTTTTTTTTTTTTTTTTTTTTTTTTTTTTTTTTTATTTCCTCCTTCCCCTCGAAGTTAATTTCAAGATCCAGCACTTGCTGGAAATCTGTTAAATTCCAGTAAAGATATCTGCTCGTGTAGGTCCTTCCCCCTTGAAGGAGAAAGACACCTTTTTGCAGGTGGGTAGTAGTGTAAAATGGATGGGCTGAAACTTTGATTTTTCTCTTATGGATAAAGTACAGAAGAGTTACATAAGAATGGAGTTTTTCCAAACTTAAACATCTACATTAGTAGGGCATCATAGCACTAAACCGGTAAAGTGTCTGTCTTTCCCTCACCTACTCCCGTTGCCAAAAAAAAAAAAAAAAAAAAAAAAAAGGGGTACATACTGCATTCTCCCTATAGCCCCAAACTGTATTTATTTATTTACTGAGGAGAGAGAGGTAATTGAGAACTTAAAGTTACCCTTCTGGTCTCCAGATCTTTGAAGCCCAAGGGTTTTGCAGATTGAGACACTTATCTAAATGGTTTTATTTCATCTTTCTGCCAAATCTGTACTGACACAGACTTGTTAGAGTAGGCAGACTTGTCTGCTTCACACAGCAAAATCATGAAGAGAGGATGCAGTTTAATTGGTAGAACACAGTGGAACCAGAAGTGCAAGTTCTTGTTAACATAAACATGGGTTGCTGAAAACACGGGAATAGTCATGCCCTTGCTGGCCACAGTTTTATTGTGCTGAAAAGATTCTCTAAATCAACTTTATGTTTTTTGATATCCTTTTCTGAACATGAGAAATGTAGCATTATTTCAATCTAAAGTGTATCCAGCTTCTATTTCAAAGCAAAATTATCTGGTTAAAAATTAACAAGGTGGAAAACTGTATTAAATACTTAATGTGAAGATAAACAATCTGTATTTCTTTGTGTGGAAAAATCCTGTTGTCCAACGTTAAGCTAGTTGAATTTCCAATCAAATGAGATTTCTATTTACCGTACTTGAATACCAAATTTTGAGGGAGCTATGGAATGAGGACTGCTCTGTAAATGGGAGTTGAGGTGACAGCCCCTTGGCTTGATGATGGTGCAAGTGTTTGGTTACAGCTGTGTACTGGCTATTTCCTGGCTTAGAGCAAGGTAATCGTTTGAGTGGCCCTGATCCGGGGTATTAAGTTGATGCTAGTCCTGTGTGTGTTGTCTAGGAGAGCTAGGTCTGTTTGACCAGAAATTCAGTATTACCCCAGTTGTTAAGACTAAGGTCATGCACTTGTCAAACTTCAGAGCCTTTTTAGGAAGGAGTCTCTAATATTGCTTGGGTAAACCTCAGCAGTCTTCACTGCTTTGATGCTTTTTGGGATGCTTAGGTAGGCAGCATGTGTGTATCACTTCCCTTAACACTCTTGCAGCACAGGCTCCCTCCCCCTCGCCCCCCAGCAGATAAGAGAGCTCTGTTCCTTGGGAGGATGTGTTGACAGAAGCATCAAAGCTACCTTGCTTATAGTGAGTTTAGAGATAACATCATTACTGAAACACGTGCCTTGTTATAGTGTCTGCAGCCTGAATTTCTGTTGCACGGCAAATAGCATAATGAATGCGACTTGTAGCAAGCGTCTCCAGACATGTGGTAGTTATCCATGCAACAAAATTGAGAGAGTTGGACTCTGCTTCCTCAAAGAAAAAGAGTACTTACAATTGCAGTCACCAGTGC